CGTCAAACGTGCCCGCCGTTGCAGCGTTTATTCGCGACGATCGACAGTCAGAGTGCCGACCGACTATATTCCGAATCTCATGCTATTATGCAATCGTATTTTGGCCCCAACGGCCCCGTACAAATAACATACATATATTTAATAAAAGAAACTATATTTGATAATATTACCTGGGGAACAACACGACCCCGCGTGGCGTGAACAACAACAGTTATAGTTAAGATGTTGTACAATAGTTTATTCCTCATAGGTATGTAGTCCTGATGCATTGAAGTTGGTTAAAGTTCAGTAAGTGTTTTGTAAATACAAAAGTGCACCATCTTGTTTTATTTAATTTGTGTTGATATAATGATATTTCTGCTTGTATAAGATATATGTTGTTGGGAATAGGTGATTTTAATCAATTTACAGTAGATAGGTATGAATAAATAACATTTTTTCTCGATTATTATTTTTAATTTAAAACCTTTTCTGTTCACAGTATCGTATGAAAAGTCTGATTTRAAGTATGTCTGGAAAGACAATAATTTTGTTTTATTAAAGTCACCTAATCTGAAAACTTCAAATGCTTACTTGGAACGAAATCGGACCTATGAATGCGCCTCTACCGGAAGTTGGAGGGGTAATACAAAAAGTTTATAAATATTAAATTAGCCATACAAATAATATAATTTATAGAAGTTTTTACTTCACTATTACTATCGCAATCTTTTCAATCATTTTTATTTATTTTATATTATACTGTTTACTATTTTTATTTTTTATTTTACATTCGTGTTGTTGTGACTGTAGTGTTTCACTTTAATTTCAGTAACGAATAACTGCAATCAATATTTTTGATGAAAYATCGTCTATACATATATTTATGTATATAATGTATATACACACACATATTTCAGGTAATTACAGTTGTCTACAAGTGGAAATGATATTTAGTAGAGATAGAACGTTTTACTTCGCTACTATTTTCATACCAGGGTTAATCTTAGTCACCTCCTCATTCATCACATTTTTCCTAGAATGGGATGCAGTACCAGCGAGAACAATTATTGGTAATTATTATAATTTTTTTTCTTCATATTTTATGATTTCATATTGAATTATAATACTAAATCGAATGTGACTACATGTTTTCAGGCGTTACGACAATGTTGAATTACTTTACAACCTCCAACAGTTTCCGYCGGACCCTGCCAGACGTAGCTAATTTGACTGCTATGAATGTTTGGGACGGAGTTTGCATGTGTTTTGTATTTGCCAGTTTTGTAGAGTTTGTAATAGTGAATTGTACGGGGAGGAGAGTAGTCAAGTCAAACGCTTCGAGTAACGCAGGAAGTTGCAGTATTTCAAAGGTAAGATTATTTGTTCATTATTTATAACTCTAACTCACTAAGTAATTTTTATAATGTCAGTAGAATTACAGGGGGAGATTTGAGTATCGCACCCCCCCACCGTGAGTTTTTTTAAACTCATCACTTTTGCACAAATACATTGAAATAACTATGGCGTAACAATGGAGTTTAACTCCCAAGTAATTTTTATAAACTAYTTCGGGAACTTATTTATTTTGCCTAGTGAACAATTATGTAATTATAATAATATTTTATCGGTCAAGCTTACWTTCAAATTTATAACCTTTTGAAGATTTATGATGCATTTATACATGTACCTATGGATCAAAATGGTTGTACTTTGTGGTGTTTATGATATAAACTATATTTTTTTAGGGTCAGGGGGGGTTTTTTAATGTTTCAATACCCCTACACAAACATGTCCAATTTATACCACTGTATACCGCCTAAATATAATTTTAATGTTAAGCAATCTTTAACTTATGTATAATTTTACAACTTACGGCTATTGAGTTGAAAGTATATTTAATGAGTCCTACAGATAAACGTGAGCTTATGAAAGTCAACTTCATAAAATGAATAAATAGGTTGGTTTATTATTATTATTTTTTTTTTATTGCTACATAAATKTYGCTGATGAAGCTTTTTTTAAGGGTTCGTAAGCAATTTTCATAAGGTATTTAAAACATATCAACAAACATTGAGTTAATAAAGTATAAGTGATAAATAAGTAGTTAATAAATATAGCTAGTAGCTACAACCAACAATGATCCTTGGCCCAGATCTGGAACAAGGCGAGTAAGCGTAATAATATGCGGGCAGATGATTACACCCGTGGCAGATGAAATTATGTTAATATTCTTCTAATGAATAAGATAATGTGAGAGATTGTAGAACTCTTATATGTTAATATGTTATTAAACTATACAAACAACATACGTGTTAACTGTAGTCATTTTAAATCGTATTACACGCACGCAATCATTATTAAATACGCAATAACGTTTAATTTAATAACCRCCCATCAGTCTGAAATTGCAATTTAATTCTTTAGGTAAGTCAACATTATTTTTGGTTTTTCTAGTAATCTGTCCTATAGCRGTGGCAATTTTTTTTCTATACTTATCGCTWTCGATCTGAAACCTACTAATTTTGCTACCTATGCGTTTCTTTAAACGTGTAGACTCGTGATTTAACGTAACAAGCCTTAAACAAGATAATTCGGTGTATTTTATACTCKCTACAATATTTAATATAAACATATACGTATATATATAAACGTATAAATATATTTTCTTTTTATCATCATTCAATGAATCCCTTGATTGTTATCAGGAATATAATATTATATAGACTATAGAGCATAAAATTCTTTATTATTCTGTATGAACTATAATATGAGGTAACGTACGTGAAAAAGTCTGGTAAATCAGACCTCGGAATTTTATTAAACTTGGCACGTATACATTCTTAATAACATGGAGTTGTCGGTTAGTTGGCACATAGATGTGTGTTTGTGTATGCGGTCACTATATATTTCGTTTAAGGGCACTGTGGTAATTTTCCATAAAACCCAATGCACAGCTACTACATGGCGCAAAAAAAAAATGTCACGAATAAAAAGCTATTAAAACTTTCACATTCTCGTGGGAATAATATAATTTTTGAAACATTCTTTTATTCCGTTAAAAATTGTATTTAATATCCGTATAATGTATAAAAATAATATACCATAGGTACTCCAAAAACTTAAAACATAGTTTTTTAGATCCATTAAGACTAAATACGAAGAATACCAAATAATTACTAAACATTTTATTTTAAAGAATTAAAAAACATGATTGTTATGGGAATATAAATAGTCAATAATTTAAAAAATAGAAYGAATTGTTTGAGACATTTAATTTTTCATTCGAAATTAAGAACTTAATTTTTTTAAGAAAAATACGTCAAATCTTGATAAAATAATGATCTCTCGTAAGATTATTAAATGCTGACGCAATTCAATTTATTAACGTTTSATGGCATTTATTCGATGACTTGATATTATATTTCTCAATAATTATGAAAATATTGCTCCAATTATTTTATTCTCCTGCGAATTTACAATCAAATAGTATGATAAATAATAATATGCCATGTTTAAAGTCGTTCACTACGTAATAAAATGTTTTTCTAAGTAAAAAGATAAAAGTCAATAAGATAAAAGTTAAAATTTAACATATTACATACCTAAACTGTTATTTTTATATTCTTTATTAACAACACTCAAATTGAATTTCATTTACTGAAAACAAATATTAAAAGTAAGTTCGTGGAAAAAAGGAGTAAGCACGTATATTTATTATTATTCTGGTTCAAGAAACCAAACTTTCTGTATGTTTTTATACAATATTATATTCCTAAAACTTTCCAAATTATGGTTTTTTATGTAAGATAAAATCAAAAACATCCTAAAGAAGGACACGTGAAATTGTACGCTAAATATTATCGCAAATATTTTCTCCAATTATTTTTAATTAATTTCCGTGATATGGGGTGCAAACTTATCGATTATACTATGATATATGAAACGGTAGAAAAAATAAAATACTTAGTGTTGGATTTTAATGAGGAGTATACAGAGCATAGGTATGAATAGAAAACATAAACTTTCTTCATGAACAGTTAAATTCAATAGAAGGTATTTCAAAGAAAATTAACTATTAATAATACTCCGATGACACGTTGTATCAAAATGAATCTGAACTTTCAAAGATAATCTAACAAATTTCGAGAACGAGTATCATATTATTAATCTTACCTATGGTAATCTTAAAATTAAAATCATCATGTTGCTACTAAATTATATTTTAAATTATTCAATTAAAATTTGTAATCACAATTCACAGAATGTTTACCAAACAATAATATAATATTTTAGTACTTTGTTCATTGACACAGTTACAATGTTGTACAAAATTCGTTACTGGCGGAAATGGATAACTAAGGCTTAAACAGTATTAGCGTGTCACTTATCTCTTAGCACTTTCAAAAATAGTATTGTTATAACGTGTTGTTATCTAAAACGTATGTTGTATATTTATTTTATTATTCATGTTTTAATGAGACCTTGACATTCATTCGGGTAAAGTTTGAAGAGCTTCACTTAAGATTAAAATTTAACTGAACTTATAATTTTGAGAATTTTCAAGTAGTTTTCTTAAAATGACGAGTAACTTACAGTCACCTCGACGGTGACATACGGCAGTTCAATTTTAATGTCTGAACAAAACTTTTAGCTACATCTTAATTTAAAATACTTGAGAACGTAAAATAAAGTTAACCATGGGTTGTTGTAGATGCACTTTAAAAATCTATTTTAGTAAAAGTTTATGGTCCACAAAATATCTATGAAATGTAATTTAATCGTAATTTTATGAAATACAATGTTGGAACTGTTTCAAAGATTTTTATCATATGTCTCATTTATACAGTGTGATCACGATATTAGGTACCGCTGAATATCTCAGTTGGGTGACCTTGTATTGAAATGGGGTTTTTCGGAGGTGATAGGGAATACTTAGATACATATTTTCAGACTAATTCCAACTTTTTAGCCCTCTTAGTACACGTATACGCAATACTACTTACTTTTTTTTGAATGACAACTCAATTTTTTTTTCTGSAGATTTGGGTAGAGTATTTTTTTCAAACATTTATTATATAAAAAGTTTTTTTCTATTTTCAAAATTGACCGAGTTAGAGTAAATCTAAATTTTGATTTATACATGATTCATGCAAAAAAA